ATAGTGATTTTAATCACTGTCAGATATCATTATACTTGATCCAACTATGCCACGTCACCACTGTGCTGCGACCCCCCTGTGCTGGGTTTTTTTTTTTTATTGTATGTTTTCTTTTAATAACAGAAACCAAATTTGAGCTCAGGTTACTAGCAATATATTAGATACCACAAATAAAGTTATAGGTAGTATAAATAAAACACAAAAATAAAATTGTCCCATGGCGGAACTCTTATAGTATTCTGATGGGTCTTCTTTTCTCTACTTCTTTATTCAAAATCTATCTCTTTTTCTCTCATTCCCTGTCTGTATTTGTTATACTTTAATGAACTTTTGTCTTTATTTTATCATTTCATTAGTTATTATAACTATGCATTATTACACAGTTCAATGGTGTAGGAAACGATTTGTAAACCTCTACCCCGACACTTGTCTTGTGTTAATAATGTTATTTTATACTTAGTTTTAATTTGAGTATTTATTAAATTACTGACTAATAACCAATCAATATTTTTATATAATCACCATTACACATAAATACATAGATACACTAATTTATCTATCATTTTCATATATTTTTTAAAATAACTATAGAACTATCCAAGAATTGTAGGTAGACAACACTCTAATTGCGTAATTGCAATCAAATTCTATAGAAAATGTCTAAACAAATTTATTAAAACTAAATCTTTAAATGATCATTTAAAACTCAAACATACTCAAAATACATTATAAAAAATATTTAAATTGAATCATGGCAAACATATATAAGTATAATTAACTTAAAAACCTCACCAACATGTGGAATATAATAGAATCTCTAAAAAACATCTTATACCAACCTCTTCTTCTCATTCTATCACATAATAGTTTATATAATAACTCTTAAAGGTATAACAGAAACATTTGCACAAAATTTTATTAAAAATAATATTGAATTATTTTAATTTTAGACATTCTAGACTTAAGAAAAAGTTTTGTAGCAGACGACATCATAAATCAAATAGAATCTAACTATTCAAGAAAATAATTTTAACTAACCATTCAATATGAAAGAGTTCTAAAAGTAAAAGTCCAGGACTAAATAGGATATCATATATTTTTATTCAAAATCTTCCAAACAAATACCTGATATTACTCCTCTAAATCTACAACATAATCTAGGAAAAAGGAGAATACCTAGACCAATGATTAAAAACTATAGAAATATAAATACCTAATCCAAACAAAAACAAATTTAACAAACCCAGCACAGTGGGGTCATGATACAGTGGGGATATGGCACAGTTGAGTTAGGTATAGATTTAATATAAGTGATCAGTAAGTAATAAGTGACACGATCTCCTATTTCTTTATTTATATCCTAATTACAAAGTTTTATGATTTATAAGTGTAATATATGTATAAATATTTATTATAGCAATTAAATATAGAATGAAATTAATATTTAATAATTTAATATTATAATTTTTACGGAGAAATTATAAAAAATTATAAAGTAGTTATTACTTTTATAGCAAACGTATATAAAAGTTGAAGGTCTTAAATGCAATACTTAAAAAAAAAAAAAACATTGTTTGTAATTTATAAATAAATTTACTGTTCTACAAAGAATTTTCATCAGAGACCAAAATACACTTTTCTAAACCAATTTTTGCGCCGATTTCAAATCTACAATTAGAGTTTTACATATGGCCTAAATAATAACAAAATCCTTCTAATTAATATAACAAATATTTATGTTTCATTATTTGGTTACATACGAAAAATCTATAAATATATTTTAATTAAAAATAAGTTGAAAAAGTTCTACTTTCTATATGCATTTATTAAGATGCATATTATTATATGCATCTTTATTAAAACATTGTTAACATTTGTATAACGTTTATGGTTAACTAAAAAATCAGTCATAATAAAAAAAATATATAAAAATAAGATATATTTGCTTTTATAGAATTATAATATAAAACTTAAGGTAAATATATTTAAGTATCTTAAAACTCACCCACTGGAGATATACCATAAACTTTAAGTGTTAAATCTTCAATTTCTTTTGAATCTGCCTCACCCCAATAACCACCAAGGGACCGAGTCCCTGGTGTTTGGATAGAATACTAAAAATCAAATTATGATTTTTTTTACAAAACTTTAAAAGAATACTGGAAAAATATTTTACATAAAACTCATCAGATGGCTTCCGTGCTGAATGATGTGGGTGGTAAGCATGATTTATTGAAGATGCTATTGTAGCAGTAGTAGAAGTTGCTGATGAGCATCTTGATATGTCATCATCATCATCTGTGTCAGACTGCACTACATCTAACATATTTCTTTGATGTTGTTGATTTGTGTTTTCATAAAGTCTATTAAAAAAAAAAATAATAACTCATGAATATTTAGGTTAATTGGAAATTTCAGGTACTACAAATTGGAATATATATATATATACATATGATCTAGTTGGCACCCATTCAAACAAGTAGGTCACTGATTCCAGGAAGAGTACTTGACTAAGCCATGCACAATAAGTATTTTGAGGGAAAGGATTATTTTAAAATCAGTAAAACAAAAATATGATAAATATTTAATTATTAAAATGTGTAACATTAAAGAGAGTAAATAGTAAAATATATAGAGTATAATGTTACATTTGTTGATTGAGGTTTACACAACAATTTAATAATATTTTAATTAAAACACTCTTTGGTATCATTACCAATATAACATTATATTTACAAAAATCTTTGTGGAATTAAAATAGCAAAATATTATAAAATAACAACAAAAAGTTGTTTTATACTGCCACATATTTTCTTTTCGTTAATGACTCTAGACTTCTAACAATAGACATATTTTGTCTATGTAATAACTTATTACATGTATATATATAAAGATATACCGTTTATTACAAACCATTCGATTACTCGTAAAATAAACACAATATTGGACAAAATATTTGGTTTTTTTTAGTTACATATATTTGTTGATTTAATAGTTATTAATTACTTTATAGGATGATCAATTCTTATAACTTATAGGGGTGTCAACTTAATTTTTTTAAATGGTAACAAACAAAATTAACTAACTTATATAATAAAAAATTATCTTATTTATAAAATAGCTAGCAGAAAAAGCCGCCACCCCACTGTGCTGGGTTTTTTATATAGCTTAAGAGATGTTCCGTTGCTATAATACCGTAACATTTTTCTTTTTTAATAATATAAAGCTCTATCATGTTTGCCGAAAATCATTCAATTTTCGGCCTTAACGTCCGATAATTTCTAAAAATCGAAATTTTGGATAGTTTATTTGTAGATTGATAAATTGTAATGTGTTGATATTCCTTTAATATACATAACACATCAAAATCAACTTTTGGTTTTAAGTTCGATTAGAAAAGAATATGATTATCCGATTTTTAGGAATTATCGGACGTTATGCCAAAAATCTTATAGGTATAAATGATAGATTTTTTAGTTTTTTGTATAGTAATTGAATACTTGGAATTATTCCAAATTATTTCAAATTAAAGCTTGTTTAATGTACTATATTATTAAAAAATGATAGCACAGTTGGGTTGCAGCACAATGTGAAAAAGGCATAGTAGGGACAAGTATATATGATATAATAAGAAACGCTTCGATGCAAATCTGTAGATAGTGTTTACTTTTAAGAAATTGATGGATTTTTCAAAAAGAAATCTTATTTCCTTATTTATATCCTGAATACAAGTTTTATAATTTGTAAGTGTAATTTATAAATAAATATTTATTATAGTAATTAAATATAGAATGAAATTGATATTTAATAATTTAGTATTGTAATTCTAAAAAATAGAAAATTTAATTCCTTATCCTAAACTTCCACTTGACACAATCTCCCACATCATCTACGCTCACATCAGCTATCCTCATATCGCATTCAATAGCGTCCCTCCATATCTTTTTTGGTCTTCCTTTAACTCTTCTTCCTTCAACATTCATTTCTATAACTGTTCTTACATCTTTCGATTCCTCTCTCCTCATAACATGACCAAACCATCTAAGTCTAATTTCTCTCATCTTATCCACAATTGACGCTACACCTATACTCCCTCTTATATACTCGTTCCTTATCCTATCATCTCTAGTCACTCCACTCATTCTTTACTTTACTCTATTATCAACTGCCCAACACTCTGAACCATAGATCATATCTGGTCTCACTACAGTCTTGTAGAATTTACCTTTCATCCTCATTGGAATTATTTTATCGCATAAGACACCAAACGCTTTTTTTCATTTTAACTACCCGCACTTAATCCTGTATCTTGCATCCTCATCAATACCACCACTCTTTTGCACAACTAATCCTAAATACTTAAATCTTTCCATCTCTCCTATCACAACTTCGCCAATTTTATCTACCTTGTGTTCTCCTTGTTCAAACTTATATTCTATTTATTCTATCTTACTCCTACTTATTTTTAAACACTTTTCTTCATGAGCTGATCTCCACACCTCTATTCTTTGATTAATTTTCTCCCTATTATATATATTTATATTTTAAAAATTAAAATTACTCCACAAAATGTTTTCAGGGATAATTCTTAAAAGTAATTAATAATTGATAAATAAAAAAATATAATTAAAAAAATCTAATTTTTTTTTTTTTAATATTGTATTTATTTTGTGAGTAATCGAGTGGTTTATGATAAATCTATTAATATATGTTTTTAACAATGCTTGAACAAAAAGTATTTAATTTATTGTTTTTCAATTAATTTTTTTAATAATTTCTATACTATTAAAAAAATTAAAGATAAATATGCCCATTTTATTATAACGTCCTTAAACTAATTTTTTCTCCTCATTTTAAAATTAAAAATGATTTTAACTAATATAAATTAAGATATAACAAAAAGGGTAAAAAATGAGATTGAATTCAAAAAACCCAGCACAGGGGGGTCGCGGCACAGTGGTGACGTGGCATAGTTGGATCAAGTATAATGATATCTGACAGTGATTAAAATCACTATAAAAAAAAAACACTTCGATGCAAATCTTTAGATAGTGTTTAATTTTAAAAAATTGGTGGATTATTCCAAAAGCTACATAATCTGCTAGTTCCTTATTAATATCCTGATTAAGATAAAGTATGTCGAATGAAAAAGGGATTATTAAAAAATATTATTTCTCATAAAAAAATTATATTGATCAATACACTTTTCAATAAGTTATAGCATTATAAAGTTAAAAATGTAAAAAATAAAATTGAGAATTTTCACACAATAATAGCATTTGGTAGCCATTTTCACCGTGAAGACAAAATAAAGTCTGAAATTTTTTTTTACATAATAAAGTAAATTACATTAGCTTTAATTTAATATATATAGAAAAGTGTCAGACTTTCCGGAACACTTTCAAAATTTAAGTTGAAAAAGTCAATTTTTTGTGAAAAAGTTGTCATTTTGAATCCCCCCCTGTAGGCAGATAAAAAGATTTATAAAAAAAATATACCAAATGATAGGTAAAGACATCATGAATCTACAAAAAAAAGAATTATATTGATCCATACATCTTTATAAGATATATATATAAGTGTCAGACTTTCCTAAACACTTTCAAAAGTTAAGTTGAAAAAGTTCTACTTTCTATATGCATTTTTGTTTTGAATCCCCCTGTATTAAGGGAAATGGTCCGATTTAATAAAACAGTATGTCGAATGAAAGATCTATATAAATACTACTTCTCATAAAAAAATTGTAATGATCCATACATTTTTCAAAAAGTTATAGCATAATAAAGTTAAAAATGTAAAGTACAAAATCGAAAATTTTCACACAAAAATAAAATTCAGTAGCCATTTTTACCCTGAAGATAAAATAAAGTCCGAAATTTTTTTTTTTCACGATAAAGTATATTACATTAGCTTTATTTTAAGATATATATAAAAGTGTCAGACCTTCCGGAACACTTTCAAAAGTTAAGTTGAAAAAATTAATTTTTTGTAAAAAAGTTGTCATTTTAAATCCCCCCCTGTGGGCAGGTAAAAAGTCAGATTTATAAAAAAAATATACCAAATGATAGGTAA